CCTCGAACCTCTCGTATATTGTTTTGTTACTATATTGTCTCATGTACTGTCCCCCACTATATTGTACATCTCTGAGCAAACTTTTTGGCACTATATAAACACTGTATAATAATAATAATAATAATAACTTCAAAAGACTAATTATGCCTATCATGTTTCACATGACTGTCATATGCCTTTAAGTGTTCTTTGTATTTTGTCTCTGCTCCTCCCTTACCTCTGGTTTAGTTAATGCTGTGTAGATAACCCACCCCTTTTCCCAGTAATCCATTTCAGCTTCTAGCCTCATGTCATGAAGCAGATCACAATATGATCTTTTGACCTATCCGATGTTCATTGTTGTAAGATTCTCTCAGTTTATGGAATAAACTTCACAAGATCTTCAAGGTGTCATCTGATCCAGTCACTGCCTGTGTTATTCAACTAAGATTGGAGTTATCACTATCTCATCACAACTGTAAGTTATAGAGATCACACTTTCAATGTTTAGATTGGAGAGACAGAACAATGCCTCTTACTAAATAACTTGTACTGTCTAATTTCTAAACAGGGGTCATTTGGTGATATTTGTACTGTCCTAGCATTTTAGGACCTCAACTACTGAGATAGGCAGTCAGTACATCAGGATTAATCAATTTTCAATGATGCATACCATAGCTTGTAGACTATAACTTTCACACAGACTAAATAATATACACTGATTTGGGTTATTTTTTTTACCAAAGATATGTAGCAGTATACATTTTGACCTACATTTATGAAGAAAAATTACTTTGTTGCAAAATGTTATAATAGAAACTAAGAATTATTTTTTCCCAAAAACTTTCTAGGGTTTTTTGCTTATATTGCAAAAAAAAACAAAACATCAATGATAAAATACCACCAAATGAAAGCTCTCTCTGTCTCAAAAAAAAATCAAAGACATTTTGTTTGGGTACAATGTTGCATAACTGAGGTATTGTCATTCAAAGTAGCAAACTGAAAGTTGAAAGTTGGCCTGGGGAGGAAGGGGGTACAAGACTGAAGAGGTTAAACAGCACTTTAAATGTTCCCCTGGCTATTCAGTCCTTCCTCCTTAAAATAAGCCTTCCCACCTTAACTGTGACAGTGTATTGATAATATAGGTACTAGGTAAACAGTGTATAAAAAATCATTTTGTTTGTTGATAAAATCGAAGCATTCAGCTCACAGTTCTGTCACACTGTGATCCAATCACCATTCATGGTCCATCAGTCTCTTCTCTGGCATCTTTCCAAGCCATGAAACATTGAATGCATTAAGGTTTGCTGCCAGGGGAGTGAATGACAGACCAGGGCTTATAATTGGGGTGAATAGGAGTTTTACAGTGGTTACACACAGGACGTTTCGACAGATTTTTCAAGAAAACTGTCCAGCAAAGATAGTGACCTGTCATCATCTCATTGCCTAATTTTGTTGTTTGTGCAGCTCTGTATTTTTTTTTATTTTATTTTAGATATATTGCTGACTTAAAGCAAAAACAAATGTCATGTCCTCAGGAGATTGTTCAGTAGTACTTTGTGTGAGGTTTAATGAATCTAATTTAGCTCACTCATGCCTGTGAGAGAAATGTAATGATTAGATTATTTTTTTAAAACACCTTATGATTACATGAGTATAAGGATTGTAATATGGCACTGCTAATTATAGATAATACTGTATATATCAGCAAGATAAAAATAATACATTTTAAATAACTAGGAAAAGAATAGCATACAGTGTATTGCATGAATTAAACTGTACTTCTATTTACAGAATACTTTATTTGTAGCTAAAGTATAGTAATTAGGATCAAAAACTATTTTGCTATGCCAATATAATACAATTATAAGACATTGGACAAAAAAAATCTCTGAAGTTTACTCTTTGGAATTGCAGTAGGACACAAGTGCAGCGGGACAAAAGTGCAATGTTTGAACAGTAGTAGCTAAATACAGTAAGTTTAAATGATTTCCTATTGCTTTAACCGTTTCAATACCGGGCAATTTTACACCACCCTGCCCAGGCCAGTTTTCAGGCGCTCTCACATTTTGAATGACAATTGCGCGGTCATACAACATTGTACCCAAACTAAAATTTTATCATTTTCTTCACACAACTAGAGCTTTCTTTTGGTGGTATTTAGTCACCGCCGGGGGTTTTTATTTTTTTGCTAAATTAACAAAAAAAGACTGAAAATTTTGAAAAAAAACACATTTTTCTTTGTTTCTGTTATAAAAGTTTACAAATAAATAATTGTTCTTCATAAATTTAGGCCAAGATGTATTCTGCTACATGTCTTTTGTGAAAATAACCCAAATTAGGATGTATTTTTTAGTTTGTAGGAAAGTTATAGAGTTCACAAACTATGGTATAGATCTGAATATTGATCAATCCTGAAGTACTGACAGCCAATCTATTTTCTTGAGGTCCAAGAATGTCAGAACAGTACAGATATCCCCCAAATGACCCATTTTTGCAGAGTAGACAGTCCGACGTACTTCATAAAAGGCATGGCAAGTTTTTTGAAGTTGTATTTTTTTTGTCATAATTTTTCGGAAAATGAAAAAATTTAAAAAATTATTTTCACTTTTTTTTTTACATACTGTCACCAGTGCAGTACAGCATCATCATATAACTGGAATGGCGGTGAACAGGGACACTGACTGGTGACAGTATGAAAAAAAAAAAATATATATATTTTTTTTTTATTATTTTTTTAATTTTTTATTACATTTTTTTTTTTTTTTTTTAAGATTTTTTTTTAAGATTTTACTATGACCAAAGTAGTACAATGTTACCATAGTAACATTGTACTACTTTGGGGAAGTGATCAGTATTTTTTTTTTTTTACCAATTTGCTCATAGCAAAGAATTACTTTGCTATAAGCAAGCATTTACCTGAATGACATCGATTCATTCAGGTTTTTTTTTTTTTTGTGCTTAGCTTTAGCTGTGATTTGGACACAGCTAATCTTATGACATGTGCATGTGACTTGCTGTGACCATTCACAGCTAGACACTAGTATACAATGGATGGCATGAATGAAGCCATCCATTGTATACAACTGTCATGTGACCTGCTGTGATTGGTCACAGCAGGTCACATGGTACCGGCAACAGGTTCCGGCACTCAGATCTGTCATCGGCCGTGTCCGAGGTACACGGCCGGTGATAGATCGCGCCGCTGCACGGCTCTGCAACCGCGCGAACTGCGCATGTGCGGGAGGACGCCAAATGGCGTACACCCCGGAAAGATAATGCATTTTTGCGGCGCGCAAACGGCTATAGGCCGGGCGGCAAATGGTTAACCACCTCCCGCCTGCCATATAAGGAAATGATGGGTGCAAGGCAATTCTCTCATTTTGGTAGGAAATCATATGGCTTCGTCCCACTCTAACCGCATATGCGTGCCCCTGAGGGCGCACAGCGCGGCGATCACTGGTTTGCTGTGTCCCTGGGACACAGCGGCTCACCGATCAGCAGAAAGAGCTGATGACTTTGGCTCTGTCATGTGATCAGCTGTGTCCAATCACAGCTGATCGCATGTAAATAAGGAAATGCTGGTTACACTGTTCAACAAATTTTTATTTTTTGCCAGTTTTGGAAACAAAAGGATCTATTTCTTAATGAATTTCACATTCTGAGTTCAAATATAACAATGAAATTTGTCAATTGGCTCTAGTTTTTCTGTAAACGGAAAGTTTTCTACTATAGGCGTAATGACTACATAATGCACAATAATTATATAGATAGATGTCTTTCCACAAATATAAAGCAAGTGATAGACTACATAACAAAGCCTAAATGGCATAATATATTGCATAGGATTACCAAGAAAAATTATAGCCATAAGCTAAGTTGAATCATTTTAATACTTAGGATTCTCACTAGTTTTGTCTTCAGTTTGTGTCGGTTTTGCTTCTCTTGGCTTTTCTCTTGTATTCGAGGAAAGGGCTATCTCTTACAACTGCACGTGACTACACGCTTCAGGTTCTTCCTCACTTGACTCAACCACGAAGGATTCTGGTGCTTTAGGAATTGGTAGCCCCTCTCCATGAGGAACTGGACGTATTGCAGATGGAATATTTGGATAGTGCACAGATAACTTTTTCTTCTTATTTAGCCCTTTTACAATTGGAGGCACCATACAAAAGTAACAATTGCTAACATGATCTGTTGGCTCTCTCCAAATCATTGGCACAGCGAAAGGCATAGATGCCTTTTTTCCATTCAACCATTGCTCCAGTGCCGTCCCACAAGAATTGCAGCATATATGTGCTGCCCAGCTCTTGTCCTGGTCTCCTATCTTGCAGCCAAAATACAAGTTGTAGGCTTTCTTAATCATTCCTGTTATCCTCCTTTTTTGTGAGATAAAAGTTATTTCACCGCAGATATAGCAGAAATTATCTGCTTTATTCACACAAGTTCGAGGCATTACTGAGTAGCCTATATAAGCATAAAACGAAATGTAAAGACGCTGTCGAACTACAATCAGCTACAGATACTGCAGCTTTTATGCAGTGAAGTGATGCAATAAAAGGCTAATATTGCATCATCTCAGTATACATGCAATTTTCTATTGGTCACAGTATCAATTGCGCAATATGCAGCTGAAGTTGCATCATAATTTTGAATGGCTTACGTCATTAGATGGGTGAATATATCATGGAAACTAGAGCCAATCAACATTTTTTAGGGTCATTTTTGTTTTCAGCACCCCAAAATTATTATCGGCATTTCTCTCCTCACGAGCTGTCACACTGACAGCTCGTGAGGAGAGGAGAGCCGGTAATTGGCATTCCTTAGAGGGGACATCTACACTGATCATCAGGGCACTGATGAGCAGTGCCCTGATGATCAGTGTAGCCCCATCAGTGCCACCTGTCAGTGTCCATCAATGCCACCTGTTATTGCTCATCAATGCCACCTGTCAGTGCAAATCAATGCCACATATCAGTGCCTACCAGTGCACATCAATGCCACATATCAGTGCCCATCTGAGCTGCCTTTTAGTGCCAACTATCTGTGCCAGTCAGTGCCACATATCAGTGCCAGTTAGTGCCACCTATGAGTGCTGCCAATCAGTGACGCCTATCATTGTCAGTCAGAGTTGCCTATCAGTGCCCATCATTGCCACCTAACAGTGCCCGTCATTGCCACCTAACAGCTCCAGTCAGTGCCACCTAACAGTGCCAGCCAGTGCCGCCTATCAGCACCAGTCAGTGCCACCAATCAGTGCCGCCAGTCAGTGTCATATATAAATACTGCCTTTCAGTGCCCATCAGTGATGTCTGTGAATGGCCTCCAGTGATGCCTGTCAATGCCCATCAGTGCCACCTACCAGTGCTTCCTCATCAGTGCCCATCAGTACCACCTACCAGTGCCCATCAGTGCAGCCTATCAGTGCCCATCACTGCAGCCTCATTAGCGCACATCAGTGAAGGAGAAAAATTACTAATTTAAAACATGTTTTCAACATTTTCAGTTGTTTTTGGTTTTAGTTATCAAAAAATAAAAACCCAGTGAAGAATAAATATCACCAAAAGAAATCTCTATCTGTCCCCAAAAAAATGATAAAAATTTCATATGGGTACAGTGTTGCATGACCGCGCAATTGTCATTGAAAGTGTGACAGCGCTGAAAGCTGAAAATTGGCCGGGGCAGGAAGGGGGTGAAAGTGCCCAGTAGGTAAGTGGTTAAAGTATTTCTAATTGTTTTTCCTAAAATGTTTACTTTTTTTAACCTTGGCATTGTGGATGGGTTGCTATTGGTGATTGTTTACTAGGTACTGGAGTAATTGTTATTGTGCTGCTGAAGTGTTTAGTACTGGGTGTTGTCAGTTAGCACATGGTGACCTATTATCCCAGCTGGAGCCTAATTAGTGTTGTATTTAAGAGGGGTAGCACCTTTGTAGAGTTTCCTCTGTGGAGCTTGCTCTTTGAAATTGCAGCAGGACAAAAGTGCATAGTTTGAGCAGTAGTTTGAAAAACACAGGAGTTTGGAGACAGCTAACTATCTTTGGTTAATATCAGTGTATGAGTTTAAATAATTTCTTTTTTAAATGTCTAATTTAGTTCAGTGAAATACTTTCTTGGCATTTGTTTTTTGTGGTAATTTTTGGAAGCTGTGATGCTGTGCCATTTGTATGCAGATTTCTAGTCTACATGATGACAAAGCTTGTCTGAATTCTTTAGTTTGTGCCCTTCAGTCTGAGATCAGGAGGTTGTCTAAGCCACTTTGTTCCATTGAGCTGTCTTGCAAAAAGCCACCTTTTCCTTAACCACTTGCCCCCCAGATGATTTACCCCCTTCCTGACCAGGCCATTTTTTGCATTACGTCTCTGCGTTACTTTAACTGACAATTGAACAGTCATGAAATGTTACACCCAAATGAAATGTATGTCCTTTTTTTTCACACAAATAGTGCTTTCTTTCAGTGGTATTTGAGCACCTGTGTATTTTTTGTGGTATAAATAAAAAGTCTGACAATTTTGAGAAAAAAACAATATTTTTGACTTTTTGCTATTTAAAAATTACCAGAAAAAATTTTAAAAAATCTAATTTCATCATAAACTTAGGCCAAAATGTATTCTGCTACATGTCTTTGCTAAAAAAAAAAAAAATGTGTAAATTAATTGGTTTACGTGAAAATGTTAGCGTTTACAAATAGCGGTATAGATACTGGAATTTTTTTTTTTAACTAGTAATGGCGGCGATCAGCGGGGCTGTGGGACTGCGTCGGGCATTCAGACACTGGGGGGAACTGACTTGGTGTCACTGACATCCCCAGTAACACCATACAGTGCTAAAAAAAAAAAAAGCACTGTACTAATGGCACTGGGCAGGAAGGGGATTACATGAGGGGCGATCAAAGGGTTAACTGCTGGGATTGTGTTACTAGGGGGCTGTGTCCGTGTGCTTCACTGTAAGCACACTGCTTTGGATGGCTGTGATGTGCACAGCCATTAAAAGCAGTGTGCCCGAGCTGACAGGGAGGAGAACTGGTAGTAAATAAAACAGTTCTCCCTGTCGGAGATCGTCGGAAATCACCGGGAGCCGGCAAGTAATCACCAGTCAGGACCAGTGATTGACAGCTACATGGTGGCGTGGGTAGGGCCAACGCGAGGCATGCACCCGTGCTGCCCAGTAGCAGTGTCAGGGAAGGAATGGGAAGATCGCCGCGGCGATCGAATCTGCACATGCGTAGAATCCTGACAAAGCATACAGGCAGGCACTAGGACCCAGGCGCGCCTGTCACCAATGACGGCGCCGGGCAGGCACTAGGACCCAGGAGTGCCTGTCAGGAGTCGGGCGGGCTCTTTAAACCCTGCTCTTGCTATGCTCAAGTGCCATATGGTCTTACCTGTTTCCTGAAGTTCCTGTTTAGTAGATTGTCTTGTTGCCGACCCTGATTTGCTGTCTGTCTCCTGTTCTGATCCCTGGCTTGTCTGACCATTCTCCTGCTTAACCCTGCACGTTCTGATCTCCTGTTAACGAACCCGGCTTGTGACCTGTTTATTCCTCTGCCTGCTGATTTTGTACCACGCCGCCACCACTGTTACCGACCCGGCCTGCCTGACGCTGCTCCTGTTACCTCCTCACATCAGACTCTCACTTGCTATACACCTCCAACGGTGCTTCTACCACAGCTGGGTGAACCAGGGGCCGCGACCTGGTCTCGGCCTGCTCCAAGTCCATCCCCACCATCAGGGGCCCTGGTGAACAAGCAGGTAGGGACTTAGATTCCGCGCCTTGGGGGAATCCGGTCTGTGGTACACTAGAGGCTACCGCTGTAGGATCCCTGACAAGCAGTATTTAGGGCAGATGGGAAGCGGTTAATAACTGTTCAAGAGAAGGGCAGTGTGGACAACTATTGGGCCAGGAGTGAGGTCTATGGGCCATAAACATGTAGCTTTTGGTATGGCACTGCATAATTCCTATAGTGTTCTTTCTGAGATAGAAACAGATACAAAGGTTGCAAACAGTTGCATGTGATATTGGCAACCCTTCTCTGCATAGGAAGGAGGTCCCTGAGAAAAAAAAGTTTTTTTCCAAAGGTATCTGTTTTGTCTGAGGTTGAAAACGAAGTAGTGTTGTGGATAAAGCTTCTAAAAGGAGAAGTAATCTTCTTGTTGGTGATTCAATAGTAAGATGTGTTTCTTTAGGAAATCATGTGCATGTGTCAGAGGCAGCTAGGTGTTAAGCAGTTAAGTGTGCATGAAGTTACACAGATGTCAGGCAAGTCACATTTGAAAGCTCACTGATCTTCAGCTTTGAAATCATGCAACTACAAGTGAAGTAGCCTGATTTCAAAGTCTGATTCACTGTGAACCAGGGCTAAAACTTGTAAGCCGATTTGGTTTCTATGCAGAGCTGCACCAGATTTTACACTCTTAAGTTTTAATAAATAGCTTCCTCTGTGTCCAATTCTGGAGACCTCACTTACAAAAAAGATATTGATAAGAAAGAATGAGTTCAGAGACGTATAACAAAATGGAGAAAGATCTGGGGGATAAAAAACATATCAGGAGAGATTTCAGGAACTTAACATGTACAATCTGGAGGAAAGAAGGGAGGACATGATTGAAACCTTTAAATACATCAAGGTGGCGGATAAGGTTCAAGAGGGCAGTATTTTCAGTATGAAACCAAGATAAAGAACATGGGGGCATGACCTCAAACTAACTGGAGGAAAGTTCAAAGCACATTGGCTAAATGGTTAGCACTTCCGCCTGGCAGTACTAGGGGCGTTGGTTCGCATCTCAGCCACAGCACCTCCTGCCTGGAGTTTGCATGTTCTCCCTGTGTCTGCGTGGGTTTCCTCCGGGTACTCCGGTTTCCTCCCACACTCCAAAGACATGCTGATAGGTTAATTTGATCCTATGTAAATTGGCCCTATTATGTGTATATATGAATGTGAAGGGACCTTAGATTGTACGCCCCTTGAGGGTTAGGGACTGATGTGAATGTACAATATATATGTAAAGCGTTGCGTAAATTGATGGCGCTATATAAGTACCTGGAATAAAAAATCTTAGAAAGTATTATGTAGTATTACTGAAAGAGTACTAGATGCTTGGGATAGACTTCCATCAGTGGTAGTAAATCAGTCAACAGTAAATGGATTGAAGCATGCTTTGGACAAACATACATGAATACTCAAACAAAAAAAGTTGCTGAATAAAAAAACTGAGACAAACAAACCCACCCCCACCCCACCCCCCCCAAAAAAAAAGCATGTAAAAATTAAGAAAAGAAAAAGGTTTATTTTACTTTAAGAGTACAAGATGCTTGGAATAAACTTCCATCAGTGGTAGTGAGTCAGTCAACAGTAAGTGGCTTGAAGCATGCTTGGGACAGACATACATCAATACTCAAACAAAAAAGTTGCTGAAATGTTTTCTGCCATCACTTTTCTTTGCTTCTATGTTTCTAAAGTTTTTAGAGATGACAAATGTGTTTCTTGCACTGTAAATGTTATTATTAGTATTATCACCATTATTATATTAAATTGTACAATATATTGTAATTGTAAAGCAAAAGGTAAAACAATAAAATTGTTTAGGTAAACTCTATGGGGAAATTTACTAAAGCTGGTGCACTCAGAATCTGGTGCAGCTGTGCATGTTAGCCAATCAGCTCCTAACTTCACCTTGTTCAGTTAAGCTTTAGGAATACAACCTGGAAGCTGATTGGTTTCTAAGCAGAGCTGCACCAGATTTTGCACTCCCTAGTTTTACTAAATAACCCTCTGTGTGACAATACATTAATAAAACCTTAGTCTTAGGAATGGCAGACTTGGATTAGACAAAGATGTGGTCCTACAATAAACCTTATGAGATTTCTTAACGGGTTCCTTTTGCTTTTTTCTTGAATAGTCATGACTATTTTGCACTTTTATTACTTTTTTCAGCAATAGGCTTTGTCTGTACTTTTTATTGTTCTTTTTTCCTAGTGAGCAGGATGCTTCCATTATATTTGAATGTCGTATTAAGACCCCTTATTGATAATAAATGTTTTTAAAACCCCACCACCTCTGATTTTTCCAGTCAAATTGTACAATGCATTTTGCTATTTTTCCATTCACGGTTTTTAAAAAATGTTTACTTGTTTTCCTTTAAAGCCAAATTTGAATCTGTTTATATATTGCATTCAATGGTTCCTCCACCACCCCACTCCTCCCCACCCATCAACATGCTGTTTTCATTGGATACCATATTTCAGATCCAATGATGTCTTCATTCGGTCTCAGCACTTCTCTATGCAATGTTGGCAATGAGCCAGCAGAGTGGTGTACATAGCTTCCTGAAAACA